GTTAACCGGTCTGAAATGCAACAAGTAATTGGCAATTATATGTTAACTTATGGCGTATTCTCATGTAAGACATTTCGAAAGCTGGTACTAAACACAATTTGTTATTTGTTATTAGTACTGCTTACTGTTTAATGTNAGTACACAATGGGCTTTCTAATAGTTACGTAGTTATATATAACCAACAGCACTTACGGTTTTCGTTTCCCGTGCCGATCCATGGGAATTGTGGCATCGGACGACAAGATATTTGTGTGTTCCAGTAGGTAGTTGGAAATGGCCCTGGCCTCCTCGAAGTTGTCTAACATTGAAAATTAAAATCAAAATCACTTACCGACTACTTTAAACACTGTTACTTTGTGAATTGTGCACCGGGGTGGTGGTGGTAAACCCTGTTTTACGATACTTTCGATGTTGAACATACCGTGAGTAGGCCATTTAGCTCTATCACGGCCGACCATCCACGAGGCAGGAACTACTGCCACCGTATCCTCCGAGACGAACTCAACAACGTAAAATATCTGCCTGTATAAGAAAGATCATTTGTGTGTTGCTATCTTACGGTCAAGAACGCCAACTGTGAATAATTGGGTAGAATACATACGCGTTCTCATAAGGTATCAACATACCTTTACATGATATTTTTTCCATCTCATAGTGTTTGATTGACTCGCTTAGATAGTCACACAAGTATATACCCAAATGTGAGGATGGAAACGGACAATCGAAGAACTCTGATGTCGACACAAAAGTTTGGACACCCACTAACTCATCCTCTAAAGAAACCACCATTCTTGGCTTGCAACCAGTGAGTACGTAGTTGTCCGGGTGCTCAGTTCCGTAAACCGTTCCATCAAACGCAATGCAATGGTTTTTCAAACCTGGACGTCGAATAGCGTAAGACGTAGTGTCATCCCAGCAATTTATTTTGTCCGTAGCAGCTCTTTGACCAGCACGTTCGATTGTTCGACGGAAGATCTGTTCTGCAAGCATAGATCTAGATGAAACACACTGGCGTATTGTCTGCATGAAACTTTCATATGGATATGCTGAAAAGTTATCCAATACGCCGTGTCGTCGTACATCGTCGCACAGATGGGTCCACATATGTACGTTATACACCCCCTCTGCCTCTCCGTATAGCTGCATGAAATGGGCTACTACTGCAGGCGCTCGTTTCTGAATGTAGTCTAAATAATGGTCAGCGAACTTGGGGCTACAAAGGATGTACGTGTATACTGAAAAGTCTAGGAAGTTTTTGTAGTTATCAGGTGGCAATACTTTCCGTAAAACCACAGGTCCGAGGTACAGAAGAAATTGTCGATATTCCGTGGCCTTCCAGAACTCAATATCACCCAAACCACGGCATTTTCGTGGAAACTCACATGTGAGTGATTGACATGCCAACTGTAAGTGTTCTCCCAATATTTTCCAATGGGATACACTTATGGGTGGACGTTTGTCTCCACCAGGTTTTCGCCACAAACTTAGCAGCCGTTTCATTATTCCCAGGCACACCGAATGCATATAGTCCGTTGGAAACGTGCCGACCATATCAATGGGAAGCTGCTCAAATGGAGACAATCCGGTGTGATTTTCATCTTGCAATCGCAGACGAAAATCGTTGTCCGTCCTTAGTTTACCTCCACGAGCTTTAAACACCATTCGTCGAGAACAACTGCTGCCCTTCTGAGTGCAAAATGGGCAACAAAAATAGCCCGTGTGTGGTTTAATCTGTTTAACCAATGCCTTAGCAGGAGCATCAGCAATGACACTGTCTAGCTGCACACTATGCTTGCGACCGTATTCAACATCCCAGAAACCATCTTCCATCAACAGCCGAAGGTCTTCAATCAACGGAGTTAGAAACGCGCGAACATCAGTCGGCTTGGACATCCCACAATACAAACCAACAATGAATATCTTAGATTTCGGGTACAACAGACGACCCAAAATTGGCCAAACTTGTTGTGATGAGCCTCGGAATAACGATAACCCATCAATATGCAATTGTAGCCGATAATGACGATCACTTCGTCCCTCGCATATGCGCCTCAGGCACTCTTGCAGTCCGAAATGTATATATGTACCATCACCCACACTTATCTTTGGTGTGCACCTGGGTGTGGACAACAGTGTACGCGGATCGGAGGGCAGTTGCGGAAGAATGTCTCGAAACTCTTGTAACATCAATTTGACTGCAATCATGGATAGCCGAGCTTTCAATGCAAATCTACGCGCAACCAGAAATGCAGTCGGTTTATCTAATAAACAGGAGTGATTAATGTTTAGCATTAACTAATACCTACCACATAGCTTAGTTTGTGGCGACGATGGTAAACTATCATCGGCATGAATCTTTTCTTCTACAAACAAATAGGCAATCAAAATAGAAAATATAATTACTGTTAGCCTCACGAATCAGTTGCAACTGTTGCTCCAGTTCATCGAAGTGTTTACGGTGTGTTTCGGACCAATCAATCAAATCTTCCGTATTGGATTCATGAGTGGTCCTTGGGAAAAATGACATCGATTACAGTCAGAATGTCTTACATCTCAACCGAGGAATTCGGTGACGTACGTGAAACATTTACCTCAGATCCCAAATTTGACTGATCAAAATGTACCCCAGTGTGGATACAACCGTCGTCTGAAGGTTCATCTGGGACAGCAGTTATGTCAAACGCATAAATATTCAACACTACTTTGACGTATAACACCAACGTTTTGTTCCTGCAACAGTATTCGTGAAATTGTGCTACGTGCTAGCAACAACGGCTGAACGATTCGTTCAATTTCCTTATGCATACGTCTCCACTATGTGACACACCCGGTGGCTTGCTGGACTAACGTTTCATCTATTACATAAGGATGCAAATATATTAGTCAATATATATATACTTAAATACAATAAACATATACATAAGTATGTATACATATACTACAAGCAGATATCCCATAACAGTGTTTTAAGATAACACATACCTAGAGAGAGGCTCAACGCGAGTGAGAACAACAGCGAAACAATATGGCGTCCCAAGGTCAATTCATCAAAACAAATTAAAATCAAACTTGTTAAAATACGATTATCAGGGGTGTATTTGATAAAAAATAAAATACTTATAAGTAAATACGATAATTTAGTACATTTCAGTGGGTCAAAAACACTGCAAATGCAAAATATAACACACTAAATAAGTCAATTTCTATGAAATGAAAAACAGTCTATTTATGGAAAATGGTTGATTATATCTTGAATTTTTGGTACAAAATCGACTAGTTCGATTTTTTCCAAGTCATTTGCACNGAAGTATTTATCGACATGCCCCCCCGTGACGAAACGGTGACTCTCAAGTGTACCCCTGTGCTGACTGGGCACAGGCCAATCACGCGTCCAGAATTCCTTCGGTGGTATGCCAGCGAGTGTGCGTCCACCTCTGCGATTGAACAATTTCACCTTCTATCTGCAACAGAGAGAAAGAGAGACTTTACTTATCGCCGCGTCGGCGAGAGACCTCTATTGTGAAGCGTTTCATATTTCACAAAAACAATTTACATAACTAACATTCTATGCCAGGGAAAACCTCCAACCATCTGGCGTCCAGAACTCTT